GTGTTTCGGATTTACCCTTTGGATTACCCTGTTTGGACATTGTTCGCCGGAGATTGACCACGCCCGTTCACTGGACTACTCTTGTGTCTTGCCCTCAATATACCTGTTTGCCATTGTCTGACCCTCGCCTGTTTTGACCACATCTTAATAAAAGCATGCAAATGGATCCGCACGTCTCTCGTCTCGTTCGCCCCGTAACAGAATACTCAGCCACACAAGGATCCAGCGGCTTTTCATGTGGATATTGGCCAGGTATGGACACTGCAAGACTGTTATTAACCCTCGAGCAGGGCTTGCGATCGCTCGAGGATTATGTACAAGAGTATTTAGATCTCGCATATTTTTCTGATCTGCCGGACTGTGTGCTCATAGACTTCTTTTGTGAGGGCATTAATCAGCCGCTCAAATCACATTTAATCCGTGAGGGTCCCCGTTCATCTCTCAGTCAGTTTATGGACTATGCTTTGTTGACTGTTGGTTCAGTGTTCACTGTGGATGTTGCGGAGGAACGCGACACCGTGTTTGCTCGTGTAATGGCAGCCACGGAGCGAACTCACAAAATGGCGGTGACCACAAAGTACTGTGTTGATACTACCGTCGTTCCTGATCCTAAACAGGTTGCGGTTGTTATTTCGGACTCCACGCCGCGGCTGTCGCATCTGAGCCCATTAACATCGCGGCTGCTGCCTCAGAGCCTGTGTATGTCTTGTATGATCTGCCAGAGTCAAGTCAAGTCCCAGCTGTTCTGCCAGAGTCAAGTCAAGTCACAGCTGTTCTTCCTGAGTCCAGTCAAGTCACAGTCGATCTTCTAGAGTCAAGTCAAGTCACAGTCGATCTTCCTGAGTTAAGTCGAGTCACAGCTGATCTTCTAGAGTCAAGTCAAGTCACAGTTGATCGTCATGAGTCAAGTCAAGTCACAGCTGCTCGCCATGAGTCCAGTCACGTCTCAACTGATCTTCCAGAGTCTCGTCACGTCTCCGCTGATCTTCCAGAGTCTTGTCACGTCTCCGCTGATCTTCCAGAGTCTCGTCACGTCTCCGCTGATCTTCCAGAGTCTTGTCATGTCCTGTCTATTGCACCCAGATCTTCAAGGTCAGTCCTTCGGTATCCAGTGTGAGGGATGCACCGCTGGTGTCTGCACACGCAGCTGGTATCCCCAAACCCACTCACTCTAGCCCTCCTGTTCCTGAACCGATTCCCCTGTCTGAAGCGCTGATGATGGGGATTGATTTTGGTGTGTTTGGGCTGCATACAAAACCACAGAATCTCCTGAGGTGGCGGCGTCCACTATGGTGTCTCCAGAGGTGGCGGCTGATGCTGCAGAACCTCCTGAGGTAGTGGCGCTCGCTGCTGTGTTCCCCGAAGTGATGGCGCCCGTTGCAGTTTCTCCAGAGGTGGCGACGCATGCTGCAGAACCTCCCAAGGCAGCGGTGCTCGCTTCAGCTCCTTGCGTGGTGGTGGTGGCGCCCAGCAATACACTTTCAGCCCATCATGTCTTGGTCGAAGGAACCGTAGATGAACGCTGTACATGTCCTGTTAAGGAGGATGTTACTGAACTCTACCCGTTTCCTGATGTTACTACTGTAGAACCTCCAGAGGTGGCGGCATCTGCTGCAGAACCTCCAGAGGTGTCAGTGGTATCCATCTATGAACTCTCTGCCTGTTCCGTCCCGGCCAAGGAGGCCGTCTATGAACTCTTGCCTTGCTCTGAACCGGCCGATGAGGCCATCTCCGAACTCTTGTCCTGTTCTGAATCAGCCATGGAGGCTGATATTGAACTGTCTGTCTTGCCAGTTTCTGTCACTGAATTGTCTGCTTATCTGGTCTGTTAATGAACCTGATTTTGAACTTTCTGCCAGTCCTGTTTCAGTCCGTAAGTCTAATTTTGAGCCATTTGTCTGTCCAATGTCAATATGTTTGAACACTCTGTCTGCCCTGTTTTAGTCAAGAAGTCTGATGTTGAATCATTTGTCTGTCCAGTTCCCACTAATGAGTCTGAGGGTGAATTGTCAACCTGTCCAGTTCCAATCAATGGTTTTGATTTTGAACGATCTGTTTGTCCACTTTCAAGTAACGTGTTTGAAGTTTTCTGTCAGTCCCATTGCAATCAATGAACCTGTTATCTGCCCCCTCAGTCCAGTCACGACCCCAGAAACCTTAACTGAGCTCCCTGAAAGCTGAAGTAACCTTGTCACAGCCCAAAGATCCGCCTTTGAACTCTTAACACTGTCTGTCATGAGCCCAGAAACTATAAATACACTGCATGTCTGTCCCGTTACCCCTGTCATTTCTAAATAGACCACTAATGAACTGTCTACCTATCCTATTTCAGGCAAGAAGTCTAGTTTTGAGCCATATGTCTGTCCTGTTTCGACCAATGAGACTGATTTTGAATGGTCTGCCTGTCCAGTTTCAGTCAGTGAGTCTGTTTATGAACTGCTCTGCCTGTCCAGTTTCAGTCAGTGAGTCTGTTTGTGAACTGTCTGCCTGTCCAGTTTCAGTCAATGAGCCTGTTTATGAACTGTCTTCCTGTCCAGTTTCAGTCAATGAGCCAGATTTTGAACTGTCTACCCGTTCAGTGGTCACCAGGGAGACTATTGATGAACTTCTTGTGTTCCCTGCCTCTGTCCTTGTGACCGTGAATGCACTGTCTGTTTCCTGTTTTTCGATTTTACCCAGGTCCCAGTTTCTGCCTTGGGTTTCTGCTCCGGTCTGGTGGCCTTCTACTCCGACCTGGTGGTCTTCTGTCCCGCTCTGGTGATCTTCTGTTCCGTCTGCTCCAGCCTGGTGGTCTTCGGTCCCGTTCTGGTGGTCTTCTGCTCCGTCTGCTCCAGCCTGGTGGTCTTCTTTCCCGCTCTGGTCGTCTTCTGCTCCGTCTGCTCCAGCCTGGTGGTCTTCGGTCCCGTTCTGGTGGTTTTCTGCTCCGTCTGCTCCAGACTAGTGGTCTTCTGTCCCGTTCTGGTGGTCTTCTGCTCCGTCTGCTCCAGACTGGTGGTCTTCTTTCCCGCTCTGGTGGTCTTCTGCTCCAGCTTGGTGGTCTTCTGTCCCGCTCTGGTGGTCTTCTGCTCCGTCTGCTGGTCTTCTTTCCCACTCTGGTGGTCTTCTGCTCCAGCCTGGTGGTCTTCTGTCCCGCTCTGGTGGTCTTCTACTTCGTCTGCTCCAGCCTGGTGGTCTTCTGCTCCGTCTGCCCCACCGTGGTGGTCCTCTGCTCTGTCTGCTCCGCCCTGGCTACCTGCCTCGCCGGTTCCGCCCTGGCTCTCTGCTCTGCCGGTTCCATCATGGTTCCCTACCCCGCCCTGGCTTCCTGCTCCGCCGGCATCACCCTGGTTCTCTGCTCCGCCCTGGCTTCCTGCTTCGCCGGTTCCGCCTGGGTGACCTGCTCTGCCTCAGTCCCCGGTCTCTCCACTGCCATGTGGACCGGGCCCTCAATTCCCTCCCCCTGTTCCGCCTCTGCTCCACCGCCCTCCTGGATTATATTGAATTAGGAGTGTCTGGAAGCCGCTCCTTGGGGGGCATGCTTTTAATAAAAGCATACAAATGGATCCGCACGTCTCTCGCCTCGTTCGCCCCGTAACACCAATGATGTGCTGAAAAAATTAAGAACTAATGAAACAGTGTGAGATTCTGCCCAAGAGGCACAATTGTAATGTTTGGATGCAGAAAGCATTTATACCAGACATAACTAAATTAGATAGTCAATTGAGCTTTATTGTCATTCCGTCATACGTAGAGACATACAAATATATATATATATATATATATATATATA